ACAGCCACCTTTCCTCACTACTTTTCTCCCACAGCTGCCTTCTCCTGTCCTCCTCTGGCTGACACCCCCTGCCTCCGACCTGGACTGCCAGACAGAACTTCCAGATGCAGCAAAAACGCTTTGCAGGCTCGACATAAGGTCACCCAGTCAAAAGGGCCAACCAGGCCAAAGGTGAACCCCAGATTTCACGCCATTCCAGCTCTCTGTCCTGAACCTTGGCCATTCACCATCAGACCTTAGCCACTTCAGAAGGCTCCACTGGTGACACCTAAATATTAGCACGTACTGTCCAAAATGCTCACTGCTTTTCCAATCACAGGCTGTTTCTATCCTCTGTCTGCTGCTGATAGGCTCAGTAACATGCCTATCTGCACGAGTACCAGCATGTGATTATAAGCATATGAATTGGATGCAGGAACAGGCCATTCAGATCTTCTAACCTTTTCTGCCATTCAATAGGATCATTGCAGATTTGTTAATGTTCTGAATTCTACATTCCCATCCACCCTAAAAACTTAGATTTCTTGTTAGACAATCTATCTTTGCTTTAAAAATATTCAATGACTGCCATCTGGGGCAGAGAGTTCAAAAGTTGCACAACCCTCAAAGAAAAATAAATCACAATTTCTGTCCTAAAAAGACCGACAATTTCAAAACAGTGCTCCCTAGTTCACAACAAACTCACAAGAGGAAATATCCTTTCTACATCTACCTCTTCAAGACCATTCAGGATCTTAGGAAATCATCGCTCTCTTCTAAACTCTAGTATAAACAAGACCAGTCTGTCTAACCTATTCTCATATTAACCCGCTCATTCCTGTTATCAATCTAATCAATCTAGGAAACCTCCTTTGAATCATCTTCAGTGTATTCACGTTCTTCCTTCAATAAAACCACAGCTACATAATCTTTTGAGATGTGACCTCCATAAAAAAAACTAGATTGCTCTACACCTTGGAATTCCACAATCATTCTCCAATTGAGTAATACCCTGCTTTTTCGTTCTTCCTAGACAAGTGTGTAACATCAAATTTTGCCATATTACGCTCCATCTGCCAGAATTGTTCCCACTTACTCAACTTACCTATATCCATCAGCCATTTGTCTTCTGCACACCGTTCTTTCCTACCTTTCTTGGTGTCGTCTGCAAACTTGGTGACCGTGCCTTGGCTCCTGTCTAAGTCATTGATATAAGTTAAAAGAAGTTGAGGACCCAGCACATTCCTGCAGGACTCCACTTGTCTCCTCGTTAAACATGGATTCGCTGTGCTTGGATCTGTGTACTTAGTTGAGAGGTCAGCCCCAGCTAAGATTCGGTTTAATTCATAGGTCTTGACGAATCATGCAGTGCTTTGAAGTATGATGTGGAGGTGCCGGTGTTGGACTGGGGTGGACAAGATCCAACAAATTTATTTCAAAACACAAGCTTTTGAAGTCTTACTCCTTCTCAGGTGTTGGTGAGACAGGTAGTATTGGACACAGGATTTATAAGTAAAAAATCAAAGTGTCACACCACTGATGAGGGTGGGCTAAACAAATCTAAGATGCTGTTAAGTATTTAATCAGTCTGAAGTATTTAATTGATGAATATGTATATGTAAATCCGCAAATTTCTTTGAAGTCACTGTCCTGAGAGAACTAAAGGTTTTATCAGTGTAAAGAAGAGGTGACATTTTAAATCAGACAAATCATGTTAGGCGTGAGGCCTTGTTTACAGTTTGTATCTGTTTTGGTTTTGTTTCTAAAGTAGGAATTTATAAAATGCCACATTGACTGATTGTCCATAAACTGTGTGCTTTTTGAACAAAATAGAATGTATCTGCAAATACAAATTGACTCCATACATTCAGGTGTGTGTCTGTGTGTGAGGGAGACAGGGAGAGTGAGTAAGTGTGTGTGGGAGAGAGAGAAAGTGTGTATGTGTGTTGCGGGGGGAAGAGAGAAAGTGTGTGTGTGTGTGTGTGTGTGTGTGTGGGGTGGGGGGGGTGATGGGTGGTGGGGAGAGAGAGAAAGTTCCAACACAATGCAACAGTTTGTAAAACATTAATTACTGCTCCTAGAATTTGAGGACATCAGCTCCAACACTGAAAATACTTCAAAGAAGGAGCAGCTCTTATAGCCATAACTTTTTCCCATCCTTCACCTAAAAATGCCTATCTGTGCCCGACTGCAGTGTCTGCTATCACTACCACTTGTCTACACTTTGGCCCTCTTTGGCCTTCTCTGCTGTACAGCCGAGTAACTTGTGGTGCCCCTGACGTGGCTGCTGTTTTCCCCATAGAGGCTGTCCCCCAACATTATGGAAAATAGTAGATCTGTTTTGGTGGGGTATAGTCATAGTGGACTCCTACACCACCTGTCTGCTCTTCCTGGTGGTCACAGTAAGAGAAGGAACAAAAACCATTTACCAGAATGATGTAGAACTCAAAATTTAATACCCATCAGCAAAGGCTGAAAAGTGATCTTAAAGGATCTTGATAATTGTTTAATCAATGAGTCTGAGAGTGTAGAAGTTATTTCTGTTGGACTACTTTCTGGTTCTAATTCACCTAATTGCTTTACACATTAAAGCACGCACAAACGTAGTTCTAACAACCCCAAATTAGGTCTTTAATGAGATCTTTTAGGTTTGTGTTCAATTTGAGTTGCACATCCAATAGTTACTGAGAAAACTGATGGAGCTGCAGATTAACAATTCTCCCGATCCTGATTGACTGCATCCTAGTAGATATGTTGATGTAAATTTTTCAAAATTTATTGGAATTTGGAAAGGTTTTATCAGAGTTCAAATTTGGACAAAGGAGAGTTATTGGATTTCCAGAAGGCTTTTGATAAGGACTGTAGGCTGCTAAATAAGGTAAGAGCCCATGGTATTAGGAGCAAGGTACAGCCACAGATAGAGGATTGGCTGACTGGCAGAAGGCAGAGAGAGGATAAAGGGGTCTTTTTCAGGATGGCAGGCAGTGACTAATAGAGTTCTGTGGGGGTCAGTGTTAGGATCACAACTATTCACATTAAACATTGAGAGCATGGATGAAGGAACTGAGGGCATTGTTGCAAACTTTGCAGATGAAACAAAGGTTGGTGGAGGGACAGGTAATGTAGAGGAAGTGTGGAGGCTACAGAAGGACTTGGACAGGCTAGGAGAATGGACAATGGAATATAATGTGGGAAAGTGTGACATTATGCACTTTGGCAGGAATTGAAGTGTAAACTATTTTCTAAATGGTGAAAGGCCTTGGAAAAATGAAGTGCAAGTGGCCTTCGGAGTCTTAGTTCAGGATTGTATTAAGGTTAACATGTAGGTTCAGTTGGCAGTTAGGAAGGCAAATGCAATGTTAGCATTCATTTCAAGCGGGCTAGAATACAAGAGCAGAAATGTACTTTCGAGGCTGTATAAGGCCTTCATGAACTGCATTTGGAATATAGTGAGCAGTTTTGAGCCCTGGATTGAAGGAAAGATGTGCTGATGTTGATGGGGGTCCGGAGGAGATTTATAAGAATGATCCCAGGGATAAAGGGCATGTAAAATCAGAGCGGTTGAAGACTCTGATCTGTACTCGATGGAGTTTAGAAGGATGAAGAGGGGTTCTCGTTGAAACTTACAGAATACTGAGAGGCCTGGATAGAATGGAAATGGAGAAGATGTTTCCACTAGTAGAAGAGACTAGGACTCACGGGCACAGCCTCAGAGTGCAGGGACAACTCTTTAGAACTGAGATGAAGAGGAATTTCTTAAGCTAGAAGGTGGTGAATCTGTGGAACTCATTGCTACAAAAGGTTATAAAAGGCAAGTCATTGAGGTTCTTCATTGGCAAGGCGATCAAGGGTTACAGGGAAAAGGCAGGCAAATGGTTTGAGAAACTTATTGGCTTGATCGGATGGTGGAGTAGACTTGTTGGGCTGAATGGCCTAATTCTGCTTCTCTATAGAACATAGAACAGCACAGCACAGTACAGGGCCTTCAGCCCACGATGTTGTGCCGAACTTTTACCCTGATTATCTTATGGTTTTAAGGGGAGAGGTGGACTACAATAGTGGGAGAAGGAACTGCCGTGTGGTATGGGGCAAAGAGGGCTGTAATGGGTGGAGAGACGTGGGGGGATGAAGAGCACTTGCAAAGGAGAGACAAAGACTGCCAAGGTGGTAGTTAGGGATGTAGCAGGAAAATAGATTTTAAACTGTTCAACAAAGGACTGATAGCTAACTGGGAACCAGGAAAACTGAGTTAATGAATTCTATGCAAATCCATGTGGAGTCCCAACCTTAAGGCTGCTTGAGTCAGGAACTATGATAGAAGGGAATTATATTTGATGCTATTTTTAATGAATACCGTGTCAATTGGATTGCTTAGTGTTGAATAGTTTTATTCCATAAAGATTTGCATTGTTGTTTTATCACATGTCCAAGTGGCACACTATGAATTACTTGAAGTGCAGTGTCTGTGTTAGAGACAAATATGCAACTGTGACCTCACCAGTCCATGGAATCAGTGTTTGGGGTGATGGCATTTTGATTATAGAAGCTCGTGTTAACTACTTCTAATATACATTGTTTCTAACTTAATCCTGTTGTTCCCTGCCAATTTAAAATCTGTAATGTCTGAGGAATCGAAGCTTTCCTTGTGTGTTGTGGCTTTACTTTTCATGGAGCGCTGCTGATTGAATAAATTGATGAATTCTGCTTCTGTGCAAGCCTATGTACCTCGTACATAAACACAAATGAGCTATTGTCACCTTGTCACTGCATCTCCTAATAAAGGCTTTACTGAAAATTAAAAAGGAGCTGCTGTAAACCAAAAAGTAGACTCTGAAAATCAATCGCAACTCTGAGAAAATCTCAGAAGAAGCCCTCGGCAAATAAAATTATTCCAATCTCTGGTTGGCTGATCCTTGTGAATTAGCATTGTCCTCTCCAACCTCTGTATTCACTCCACAATCCTTGAATATTATCTTTTGACTGTGTTCTATATCCATTGAATCTTGCACTTTATCCAACAGAATTTGGAGGAAATTATCCAACGAGATTTTTTCCCTGATGTGGAAAAGTTACGTGCTCAGAGAGAGTATTTGGAGGCTGAAGAGAGCGGCGACATGGAAAAGTTGCGTGAAATAACCATAAAATATGGTTCATCACTACGCAAACCAAACTCCAGGACTCCTGCAGCTTGTAAGTGAAGCTACTCTCAATTTGTGGCTCAATAGTAACAAATATTTCTCCACTTTTGTTTTCAAAGATGCTGAGGTTTCACTTTTATCACACAGGATGAGCAAATGGCTCTCACACTGCATAGGGCCGGGGGCATAGTGAGCATCTCTCTGGACATCAAACTGTACAGTTTCCATTCTGGTTTTTTGCAGATGTCACGCCCGCTACTTTTGAAACTCCGGAGGTTATTGCAGGATCTCCATCATCACGGAATAAAGCCTGTCAAGATGGAATGACAAGAGCTGATGAAGGTGATTCTCCTAATGTGGCATGCATGTCTCTTTAAAAATTAGAAACTATTTTCTCCCATTGAGTAGTAATAAAGGATGTAAGCTCAGTGTTTCCATCCACCTTATTGAGTGACAGGAATTGCTCCGTTTCTTTCCAGGAGAAAATGACAGGAAGAACGAAGGGAAGGAGCTTCCGACCCTGGATACCTTCCTGGGCAGAAGCACCAGTGAGGACAATGCATCCTTCAATCAAATCATCGAGGTGGCTGAAGAGAGGAACAGGATCAAAAATGCCTGGCTGTATGAGGCTGAGGAAGAATCAAAGCAGGTATGACCACTTGCCCTGTCTTCAGTGTGTGCCCAATTCTCACTCCCCAGCTTATGGACCCGTCAACATTGGCAACAGGATCTCTGGGACATTAGTGGGTGGTTATGGGAGTTGCAGGCCAGTGGGTGTTGCCTCTTCATGAACAGAAACCATGGTGTCCAACACTGTGCCTTACAGACTTGGCTGGGGAATATAAGTTCACTTTGCCTTGAATTCCCGGCACAGTATGGCAAGTTGCTTCAGTTGTGCAGCAGCCTCTTCAAGGTTTTAAACAGGCCTAAAATAAACAGAGACCACCTCCTGCAATATACCAGTGATATATGTACCCAGAAACTATCAGTGGTGATGAAGCTGGGGGCAGCTCAGGTGTGGGGAGATGCCATCTTTTTGCTGTATGGTTACTTGAAATGTAAATGGACACCTTAAGCATTGCAGTGCAGTGTAGGATTGGACACAGGTATCTATCACTCACTCGATTGTTTGTGCCATGGTTTCTTGTTACAGCGCCATGAAGAAATGCTGGCACTACCATCATCCAAGTTCCATGCTATCACAGCTGGAAAAGCAGGTGTGGAGACCTGGGAGTATAAAGCCAAGAATGTTCTGATGTATTACCCAGAAGGTAAGGTGCAGACTGATGTCCCATTCACTCATCCTGCCTAGCCTGGATGTTGCTGTCCTGTAAACCAGAATGGCAATGAATTCGTAGGACAGTCCCAGACTGGAGGGGTAGTCACGCTGAGTATTGATGTCTGATTGGGTGAACATTTTGTCATATGCTGGTAACTCACTAGTTACTGGACAGAGAGGCAGTGCCATTGTCACTGTTGGTACTACTGGAGGGGCAAATAATACTGATTTAGGTGAGGAAAAATATCCTGAGTGGTCAGGGACTTGACAGAATATAGGATTGACAGAATTTTACTGAGACACGTGGAGGGAGAAAGGTGTAAGTCAAAGAAAAAGAGCAAGACTCCTTCTCATTGACCAGAATGCTTCAGTTTGACAGTATTGCTGTTTCCAAGTAAAGTGGTAGTATTTGTACAAAATGAAAGTGAGAAGGGACTGGTCTGGGTGCCTTAGTGACCATTTGCCATCAACCCTGCCTTACTGCAGCTCAGTTGGTTTGCAAATTATATATTTTTTGGATGTTGCTTCAGTTTCTTGTGGTTGTTGTGTGTGAATAAAACCTAAATGACACCTTGGAATGAGAAGACTGGTGTTACTGAGGGGTGGAGTGGTGAGGAATGAAGGAAACATTGATCATATTAGGGCCAGGCTTTGAATACAGTTCAGTGGGGAGGGGAGAGGGCGGTGGTTACCAGTTGTCCAATGGTCTTGATTAACTTCTTGTCATAAATGAGCCCAGGTAGACAGGAAATGGCACCTTGCACCTCAGCTGGAGAACAGTTCTTGGAACTGTAACTGTTGCACGTGAACATATTTATAACTCCGTCCCAACAGCCTGATCGGTACACCTACATGTGGACTGCAGCAACTCAATGTGATCACTTACTTTGCCTTCTAAAAGACAATTAGTGATGGATAATAAATGCTGATCTAGCCAGTAAAACCCACATCCCACAAACGAATAAAAAAAAGGTATGATGTAACAAAATGGGTGTAAAGTATTTCCTTGGTTACCAGAGGCCACCATTAGTTTCCCAGCATTACTGCATCACTTGTTCTATAACTAGAGTGCTACCATTTGAAGCTGAGTGTAGCTTCCAACTTCTGCGATTGGATGCTTAAGGCTTGGCAGGGTCTCTTGTCCAGGCTGCATGCTCTGTCTCTGAGAAGCCAAGCCCTGTGCTTTGGGGATTCTGGAGGGTAAATTTCCAAACCTGCTTCATTCATTCACTCGGTTTGAACAGTGAACTAATATGATCAGGTCTGTCAGATGACAAAGCTGCAAAGTGTCCTGGGCTGGACAATCTGACTGCACCTCCTTCTTATTCCTTCACAGAATGTGGGCTTCACTGGTTGGGGCCAGCATTTATTGCCCATTCCTAATTGCCCTGGAGAAGCTGATGGAGAATTGCTCGTGGTCTGTTTTAGTTTGGATTTAACTGCCATGCATTCCCATGATGACTCTGGACATTCCCTATCCCATCATGCGGCCATGGGACTGAGGAGAAGGTCGTTTCCCTCAGCTGACCACTGACACCAGCTGCTTCCCATCTTGCATGCTGACTGCTGCTGTGCTCTTTGTTTTGCAGGAGTGAAGGACGATGAGCTCTTCAAGAAACCTCGTGAGGTGATTCACAAAAATACCCGTTTCCAAGGTGATCCATTCAGTCGAGGCCTTAGCAAGTCCCAGTTACAGCAAGCAGCAGCTCTCAATGCACAGGTATATAAATCAACCCTTCCTCAACCCTAGACCCCTCCATAATGCAGCCTTTCCGGCAACTCACCACAATTAGTTCCTCTAGAAGGTGCCTGGGCCCAGCTCCCAACTCCCTCCCTCATTTTACCCCTTCCTCCAATGGTCCTTAGTGCCTGAGCTCTCCCCTTCTTTGCTGTCTGAGTTCTGATTCTTCTGTGGAGCATGAATTGCAAAGCAATGGGCTGGAGATTCATTTCTGTGGCAGGGTCAGGGACAGAAATCACAGGCCCTGGTGCTGTTCCAAGCCAAGGATTCCCGTCCAGGTTCCTGAACACAGCAAGCCCCCGGGGCCCGATTATTGAAATTTGATGTAGCCACCACCCCATGTCCCTGGCCTTAGTCTGTATGTGTCATTTGGAGCAGTGTCTTTTTGCGCCAGGAGTTGCTTGAGCTAGGATATTCTTTAGTGGCTGGGTGTTCACTGACTGACAGATGCTGCTTTTATTTTGAAGTTTAAACAGGGCAAAGTAGGGCCTGATGGGAAGGAGCTGATCCCACAGGATTCGCCTAAAGTCAATGGTTATGGCTTTGTACGGACTCCTTCGCCAGTGCCAGGTAAGAATCAATAATTTGCAAACTTCACAGAAGAGGAATGGCAGATAGAATTTAATTTAGATAAGTGTGAGGTGCTGCATTTTTCGAAAGGCAAATCAGGGCAGCACTTATACATTTAATATTTAGGTCCTGGGGAGTGTTGCTGATGAAAGAGACCTTGGAGTCCAGGTTCATAGTTCCTTGAAAGTGGAGTTGCAGGTAGAAAGGACAGTGAAGAAGGCATTTGATATGCTTGCCTTTATTCGTCAGTGCTTTGAGAATAGGAGTTGGGAGGTCATGTTGCTGCTTTACAGGACATTGGTTAGGCCACCTTTGGAATACTGTGTTCAATTCTGGTCTCACTGCTATAGGAAGGATGTTATGAAACTAGAAAGGGTTCAGAAAAGAGATGCAAGGATGTTGCCAGGGTTGCAGGGTTTGAGCTATAGGGAGAGGCTGAATAGGCTGGGGATATTTTCTCTGGAGCATCGGAGGCTGAGAGGTAACCTTGAAAGAAGTTTATAAAATCATGAGAGGCGTGGATAGGGTAAATAGACAAAGTTTTTCCCTGGGGTGGGGGGAGTCCAAAACTAGAGGGCATAGGTTTAAGGTGAGAGGGCAAAGATTTAAAAGGGACACAAGGGACAAGTTTTTCATGCAGAGGGTGGTGCATGCATGGAATGAGCTGCCAGAAGAAGTGGTGGAGGCTGGTACAATTACAACATTTAAAAGACATCTGGATGGGTATATGAATAGAAGGGGTTTAGAGAGATATGGGCCAATTGCTAGCAAATAGGACTAGATTTATTTATGATATCTGGTCAGCATGAATGAGTTGGACCAAAAGCGTCTTTTTCCGCGCTGTACGTCCTTATGACTCTATGACTCAGCAGTTTTCTCCAAAAAGAGCTCCTCATACCTGGCTGAGATGCTCCAGAAGACTTCACTGGAAGTGCAGTTATTGTTACATGAAGGAGGATGGCAACAAGATCCTGTATGCAGCAAACAAATAACTGCTTGCATACTGTACTCTGCCTTATGTTATCTTGGACATTACTGAAATGTTAAAACACAACTCCAGGAAACTCCATGCTCTTTACATAGTTGTCAAGGGAACATGTATGTCTATTTCAACAGAAATTTTAGGTCTTCTGATCCCGCATAGTACTCTCACTCACCGGACCCGAAACGTTAAGTCTGATTTTTTTCTTCACAGATGCTGGCAGCCCTGCTGAGCTTTTCCAACAACTTTGTTTTTGTTCCTGATTTACAGCATCTGCAGTTCTTTCGGTTTTTATTGACAAAGTAAGCAGTTGGGCTTGGAATCGGTGAGCCACCTTAATCTACAGTTATATGGGACTGCTGTATGCAACATCCTTCACCCTAAGTCCTTGATAGAAAGTGGGAGGACTTCTGCATTGATGTAGTTCACTGGGCACCCTCCATTTAGTGCACAATGTCGGGTCCAAGCACTGCCATCTTCAGGCAATGGAAGACATTGGCCATGAACTGGATACCCATCCAGCTCTGCACACCAACTCCTGCGGCAACGTCCAGTCCAGGCCTCTGCCGCCCAGCGCATCTCTGATTCTGATCACCCCCACAGCCACGGCCCTACCTTCCACCAGCCACTCAAACTCATGATGAAGGAGGTGCTGATTCCTGACCAGTGGTTCTCTGATAGCCACCTTTCCTGGTGATGGGAAGGCATGAGTCAATCATGTGCCAGATATTGATCAGGTCTTGGTAAAATACTGGCAGTATCTCAAGGGAGACCATAAACAGAAGCAGCATGTTATAGTTGAGGAGCAAATTACTGCAGATGCTGGAATCTGTACTGGAAAACAAAAAATGCTAGAGATCACTGTGGCTTGGGAAGCATCCATGGAGAGAGTGCAAGCTAATGTTTTGAGACTAGATGATTCTTCATCAGAGCCCTGATGAAGAGCCATCTAGACTTGAAACGTTACCTTACTGTCTTTCCGTGGATGCTGCCTGATCCTATGTTATAGTTGATGTCCTGCGCCCGGCAGAAGAAATGCATTGCCAGGGAGGAGGCCCAATGTAAATGTATCGCTCCAGGATCCGAAGGTGGAAGGTCCAAGGTGTACCAGCAACTGGCCACCCTCCTTAATGGGGAGACTCCAAACTTCTGCAGCGATCCAGTGCACCTTCTTGTCCCAGAAAAAGTTGACTAATAACTTCTGAAATTTTATGACAAAGCCAGCGGGAGAGGTCAAAGGTACCAGCTGGCTTATGCCTAGTACTCAACTCCTGTAAGATGGAGACCGAAGGAACTGTGGATGCTGTAAATCAGAACAACAGAAATTGCTGGAAAAGCTGAGCAGGTTTGGTAGCATCTGTGGAGAGAAATCCAGTTATTTTTTCAGGTTGACTGACCCTTCCTCAGAACTGTAAGACAGCATTTGCAGCAGCGCTGTCCAGTTGCCTAGGTGAGCTGAGACTGTTGTGGATCCTCTGGCCTGGCAAATTCTACCAGGTGCCACAGTGAACTTTGAACCTCTGTCCCCAGAGGTTGTAGACCTAGACCCCAGCCTCTATGATTAATCCAGGGACATTACCTTTATGCCATTTCCTTTGTCTGAATGTAATTATTTTAATCAATCTGTTCAGACATGACATCCAAGGCAGGTGTGATTTGAACCCAGGCCTTCTGGCCCGGAGATAGGGAGACCACCTCT